TACTATTATATATAAAGCCATTTTTGTGCCTATATAAAGCTTGTCTTTATAGTCCTTCTGATGCCTTGCCCATACTAAACCAACAAACAAAACTGGCTGCCATCAAGTCAATTTCCCTCATGGCGACTCTGTAGGACAGAGCAAAACTGCCCTCTGGATTGCCGAGCCTTTACGAGAGCAGAAAGCCTCATTGAAATTTCCGCCTTTGGAGGGGCTGGTGGTTTTGAAGTGGCAGCCTTGCCAGGTTAGCAGTCCAGAGCATACTCCACCACGCCAGCACCTGCCAACCAAGGCAAGGAACATGGGCCAGTGGCAGTTTTTAAACAGCCCGAGAAGTGAGACTGGGTCAGAATGCATTCTCATAGTTGGTCAACGTGGCAGACGACAAGGCGCTTAAGTTCTGCACGGTCCGTCTCTGCGCCTGATGTTACTGAAGTGGGGGGAGGGGGCAGGGCGGGGGGAGGGGGGCCCTGAAATACAAGCTAAGAGATGGAGCCCACGGGAGCATCCTGGTTTGAGTCTCCATCCACCAGAAACACGAGTTCCCTTTCACAAGCCCGAGAGAGAAACTCCACTTGGCTTCCTGTCTGCCAATGACCCCAACTTGACCTTTCTTTCTCCCAGCAAAGTGGGGCTGTCCTGAGGACCTGTTTTCAGCTGGGGGGGGGGGAATAACCCAAACTCCAAACTCACTGCCATTGAGTTGATGCCAACTCATAGCGACTCTCCAGGACAGGGCAGAACTGCTCCTGGGAGCTTCCAAGACACTTTACCAGTTTTGGACTGCTGGCCTTGCTGTTGGCAGCTCAGAAGAAAAAGCAGGAGTTTTCAAAGACAAAACTTTAGCCCTGTTCCTAATCTATTCTGGGCGGAACGGAACTCAACTAACAACAGCGAAGCTACCCTATCTGGCACATCAGAGCCCATGGATGCTACCAGGCCCCCAGTTATCCTCAGTTTGATAGACACCACCCCTGGGGGGCTATTCCCTCTCTGGTGCTGTCCTGTAAAGACAATCCAAACAGCGCAAAAGCCACTGGGCGATTCTGCTTCTCAGTTGCGTAATGAAAAGCACGCTTCACTCTCGCCTCCTCGCCAACCCTCTTATCTTCTCTCGTGAGACTCTTCACAGTCACACACTTGAACTTCAGGGCACGATTACTCAAGACAAGTGTCTCTGCAGAACGGGAAACGGCCTCGGCCAGTTTCGAGGACAGCAACGGGTGAGGCATCTCAAGATGACCCCCCCACCCCACCCCCAAAGTTTGAAATCCTCTGGAGAACCACCCCACCCCCACCCTCCGCAATCGAGGGGGACCATCGACCTTGAAAGGCTGGCTCTCGTCGAAAGCGACGAGATGGCTCAACACAGTGGCTGCAGCCACAGGCTCAATCCTGAGAACGGGGAGGGTGGCACAGGGACGGGCGGTGCCACACGCTGTTGAACCAAGGGTTGGAACCGACCTGAGGGCACCGCACAGTTCTTGTTACACTGGTCTCAGTCTCTTCTGACTGCGGTGATGGCTTTACTCCGGCAAATGGGCAGTAGCGCTGAAATTCTTTATAGCCAGACTTGCCATGAGGAGCCAAGGGGAGGGGGCAGTCCACAGTCAGGTGCTCGGGACAAAACATGATGGGAGTCCAGTCCCATGTCCCCTCAGTCACAGCAGGTCATTCCTGCAGCATACCAGTGAGGGCTCTGACCTGGCAAAGCCTTGCTGGACAAACCACTATTTCTGGTTTCTTATCACATCCTATCAGCAGCGGCCTTGTGATTCAATGACAGTTGGTTTCATTTCCAAATGTGAGGCAGGAGAACACACTGTGTGGTTACTCACAGGGGAACCTTGCCATCTATAGTAACTCTCTCATATTTGCCAAACACCTCTGACACACCACTGTCTGTCTGTCCAGGCTCACAGTGGAGTGGCCTGGCTTCCTAATGAACATCTCACCCTGAGAGGTGAGAGATCAATCC